ATCTATAAACAGAGGATGTCAGAGTACAATGTCTCTAAATCTTTTCAGCACCACTCTTAACTGAGTGTGACCTGAACTTTACTCATTGGGGGCCTTCAACGAAAACTCAGCTGTGTGGGTAATATTAGGCAAGAGACCTTGCTTGTCCAGGGACCAGGATTCCCAGAGAGGAATCCAATGCTCCATCCCTCCCAGTTTTCCCAAACCAGATCATCTCCTTGAGTAATAATCTATTCCAGCAGAGTGGCTAACTAACTTCATGCCGAATTGGAGGCACTTAGGTGCATTTGAGATCCATTTAACCCAATTCCTTGTTCCAAGGCAGAACAAAACCACACCAGATATTCTGAACTAAAGGTAGGTGATTTGACTGGAAGTAAGGTGCAAAGTCTCTAAGCAGCCATAGGGCATTGGGCAAGTCAGTTACTCTCTTCGAGCCACAAGTGTTCATTCGTAAAATGAGTTGGTTGGATTTGAAGATTTTTTGCAGGGTAATGAATTAAATTTATTTATTTTTTGTTGTGGCAAAATTATACAAAATGTGATGAATTTAAAGTCCTTTACAATTTGGGGATTCTTTGAGATACCATTTGGGAATGTGGCAGCACATGATTCACTCTGCCATCGGTCACATCGGCACGTCAAGCTCTCTCTTATACTTCCTCTGGCCATTGCCTGCATCTATCATTATGCTTTGGTCTAAAGTCCAGCAGGTTACCTGATGGAGAGTCTATGTGCTCAAATTCTGATTTAGACTTTTACATGCTGGTCACCTTTTCTTTCCATGCTTCTAGATGAGGCAACATTGTGGGGAGAGAAGAGGTATTTCTTACCATCTAAGTGGGAGGGAATGGTGGGAATCATTGACGGCAGGTAGCAGACAGAGGAATAAATACAGAAAAGGTAGAGATGCCAGAAAAGGAAAATGTGGTCTTCAAAAAGGAAGACTATCAGATATTCCTTCTCAGGAATGAAGGCTGGAAAAACTGGACCCTTCCTTATTCCTCTCTTATCTCTGAGTGATCTCTCATATTGGTCCTAGGATATTTTGCTTAGTTTCTCTAATGGATCAAAAAAAAAAAAACAAAGAGTTCAGATTCATTAAGAAACATTTGTTTGTGTTGGTGAATAAATATACCTTGGACTTCTAACAAAAGGGCATATTTAATTTTAACTCTTCACTTATATGTTATATACCTAGAAATTGTATAGGGCAGTGGTTAAAAAGCATACGATCTGTGTTTATGCTGCTTGGATTGAAATCCTGACTCCACTGTTCTGTAACCTTAGGCCTGTTAATTCACTTAACTGTGCTTCTTTTTACTCATATTTAAAAAAAGGGGTGATAATAATAGTACCCACATCACAAATTTGTTCCTAAAATTGAATGAATTAATGTATATAGAGCACCTGTAAAGGGTGTAGCACATGGTTCTATTGAAATACTAGCTATATTATCAACCAAAATGAAATTAATAATAATGAATTAAGAAAAATATTAAACAGATAATTTTGAGTACTAGGATAGCATATTTCTTAGTAGAATATATGGACACAGAATTACAATTGTAAAGAATCTGTTAATTGCTAAAAAATAAGTATGATAAAGTATCGTAGGAGTACAAAGGAGAGAATACAGTATTCCTACAGTAGTGACAATCTTCATGCAATCTAGAAAGAAGGAATACTAAGCAGAGAGAAGGGAGAAAAGACACCCTTGGTTAGGAAATAGCTGTATAACATTCATTTAGGGAATGCAAATAAGGGTGGAAAGATAGGCAATGGCCAGTTCAGGAAGGACCTACTTAGAATATTGGAATTTATGCTGTGGGCAATGAGGAGGTGTTGATAGATTTTAGGTATGGTAATACATGATTTAATATGTATTTAAGGAAAATCACCAAAGTATTTACAATGCTCAGAGAAGACAAGATTCATATGGGTTGGAGTATTAAAGACAAGCTTCATTGAACACATAAGACTGGAATTGGGCTTGGAAGGTGGGTGGGGTTGAAGGGACAGGAGAGGGCATTTCTGGTGAAGGGAGGCTTGTGGCGGGAATGAGCAGGGTGGGCTTGTGGGATGGGGAGAGGGCCCTGAGTTGAACAGAGGTGAGGTGAATTTTAGTGGATAAGAGGGTGATTGTTGAGGTGGCTCAGTCTGCGATGGTCTTTAAAAGTGAGTCAGAAGAGTTCAGATTTTTCCCTGGTTATTCCCACACAATGGAGGATCTGAGGAAAGAAGGGTCAGGAAACAATTTTCTGGCTTCATATGCAGGATGGATGAGGTGGGAGCACCTGGAGACTAAGGTGCTTTGGTCATCTAGGCATCAACTGACAGCGTGTGAGAAAGTGGTGGCAGCAAGAATGGAGAGAAAGTGCCCACAGAAGAGAGGGTTTAAATGTAAAATTAATGGGATGTGGTGATGACTGGGTGTGGGAATGAATGGCGATGTGGGTTGTATATGACATCTAAGCTAAGGCCTGGGCAGCTTTGAGGGTGATGGGGGCTTCAGAGTATATTCCAAGTCACACTTGCCTGTAGGTGTCTTACTACTCCACAGCCTTGTCTCATCAGCTACAACCTAATCTCTGTCTAAATCTTTTCCTTGAGTTCATGAGAGAAGATGTGGTAAAAGGAGATTCTTGAGTTTCACAGAATTATCTTCTAACCATTCAGCTGCTTGATTTTTCAAGTTACTGAGATGGTGCCAGATATTCCTAATGACTGTGGGTGCCTGGTGCCTACATCACTGCTCCCATAGGAAAGGGCACCATGATATGAGGAATTTGGTAATATTGCTTGTGTTAGGTCATGGGTATTTAATGTAATTTCTCTGCTGCATCCACCTTCCTGGAAACTAGCTCTTAGATATGCAGTTTCCTTTTGCTTCCGTGGAGGGCTGATCTTTTCTTTTATTTTCTGCAGATGAACTTTAAATTATGTAAATTACAAAGAAATGTTCCATTGTATTTTGATTGAGGTTGCATAAATTTGTAGATATATTTAGGAAGAGTTGAAATTTTCATTGTGTTAAATTTTATAATTTAAGCATGATTTTGTAAGAATTGTTTTTTGGTAGATATAAGTATGGTTTCCCCCTTATACATGTATTTTCTCACGTTCCCTTAGTAGTTTTATGGTTTTCTCTGCATAACTGTATCACATTTTTAAGTGCTTTTTATTTAAAAAACTTCTTGGCTATTGTAGAAGGAATATTTTTCAGTTGGGTTTCCTAACTGGTAATGTATTTTGAACTTTCTTATTGTTGCTAGTGGTCTTCAGTTCATTTATTTATTTTTTCCTAGGTTTATATCTTAGGAGTTTTTGCTTGCAAGAAACACAAACACATCAACAGGCTTAAGCAAAGAGGAGAATTGATTTGAGGAATAAAGCGACTTTCTCTGGTACCCAAGTACACAAGGGACTGCACGAGGGATTGAAAAGTCAAGGATCCAGGGTACTGTCTACATCTCTGAGATGCCATGGTCTCTTTCTCTACTATTTTTCTTGCTTCAGAATACTAGTTTCTTGATTATTTTTAGGTTGAGTAATTTATTTAATCTTAAAATTTTTTTTCTTTAATAAAAATTGTATCTATTTAGTATTTACAGCTTGATGTTTTGATATACATATACATAATAAAATGATTAGTACAGGTGAGCTAATTAACATATTCATCTCCTCATATAATTACCTTTTTTTTTTTGGTAAGAACACCTGTGCTCTGCTATCTTAGGAAACTTCAAACTTCAGTGTGTGTCCTCCCTGAAGAATTCTGACACATGCAACCTTGTTTTCATCTGTTCATATCAGTGACTTTTGTTTTCTTTGTTGATTCTGATCCTTGCAGTTCAGGTGCATTTTTACTTCTTTGAAATTATATTTCTTGAAAATTTCAGTATGAAATCAGAGATAGAGAGTAAAGCAATGATGATAAAATTTATAGCAGAGAATCAAAATGCTCATACTATTTCTTTATTGTTTCTCATGGACTATATGTGGTGAAAAAAATTCCTAATTGGCACCTTAATCTAAAGAATATTGTTTTGAATCACATTACATTTGTTAGCTTGAAAGTGTATCATGATCAATATTTCTTATGCATAGTTGGGGGTTGTGTATAGGTGTACAAGTGTGCTTAGTAAGTATCTGTTCCAGGGAAGTAACTTATTGAGAAATCCTCACTATTGTTATCATATACTTTGCTGCAGGCTACCCACCTGGAACCCAAACAAGCAGGCTAACAAGCCAAAACAATGCTCTAGAGGACAAGCTCTGTGATTCATGATGTCTCGGTAGTTAGAGCAGTGGGCCAAGAGGTATAAATAAATGTAATAGTGAAATGATGGAGACAAACTAGTAGGTTGAATTCTCTCCAGAGTGTTTAAGCATTTGTCACATAAACTTAGTTATTGAAGCTGCAAGACAGGCAAAGAAATCTGACCAGAGTAAGTTGAGGACTGGTATAACTAACTGAGTGAAGAAAACAGTACAGAGGACCTATTGGAAAGGGAAGAATTGTGAGTGGGAAGATGATTCCCTGAGGCAGAGATGAAGGAAAGAAGGAATTTAGCAGCAGAAGTGTGTCATGGGGATTCCCCAATAGGATAGAGCTGTCAAAATGCAATGAAGATAATAAAAATATGGGCTATGAATCTAATGTCCCCCAAATTCAGAATATCTGGTGGTGAATTAGAAAGAACCTTGTAGTGAAGTCAGAGAGACTGGTTCTGAGTCTGAAAATCCACCATTTTCTGGGTGATCCTGGGTAAATTACCATTTCTCTAAGCCTTCATTTTCTAATATATAAACTGTTGTTAAATTGCTAATATTTCATGCTGAGTGAGTACAAATTGGCTAAATGGATGACTTCATAAGTCTGTATTGTAAAGTGGTTTACACTAATGTGCTATAAATGAGGTGAATTGGTTAAAATCAGTGTTTGTTTTATTTCAGGTCTCTCAGTAGCTTGTGTCCGGCTCATCTGAAAGGATTCCATGGCGAGTAGAAATAATGTGACTGAGTTAATTATTGCCGGTCTTTTCCAGGATCCAGAGGTGCAGAGGGTGTGCTTTGTGGTGTTTCTTCCCGTGTACTTGGCCACGGTGGTGGGTAATGGCGTCATCGTTCTAACGGTCAGCATCAGTAAGAGTCTGAATTCCCCCATGTACTTCTTCCTTAGCTACCTGTCCCTGGTGGAGATCAGTTACTCCTCTACTGTTGTCCCTAAATTCATCACAGACTTACTCACCAAGATTAAAACCATCTCCCTGGAGGGCTGTGTGGCTCAGATATTCTTCTTCCACTTCTTTGGAGTTAGTGAGACCTTCCTGCTCACAGTAATGGCCTATGACCGCTATGTGGCCATTTGTAAACCCCTTCATTACACAACCGTCATGAGCCGGCCTGTGTGTCACCTTCTTGTGGCTGGCTCCTGGCTTGGGGGCTTTTTTCACTCCATGGTTCAGATCATTGTCACTGTCCAATTGCCCTTCTGTGGTCCCAATGTGATTGACCACCACTTCTGTGACCTCCATCCCTTATTCAAGATTGCCTGCACTGACACCTCTGTGGAGGGGGTTTTTGTGTTGGTCAACAGTGGACTATTTGCTATTGTCTCCTTCCTCCTCTTGGTGTCCTCCTATATCATCATCCTGGTAAATTTGAGGAACCATTCTGCAGAGGGGAGGCGCAAAGCCCTCTCTACCTGTGCCTCTCACATCATGGTGGTTCTCTTGTTCTTTGGACCTGCCATCTTCCTCTACATGCGACCCTCCTCCACCTTCACTGAGGACAAACTGGTGGCCGTGTTCTACACGGTCATCACCCCCATGCTGAACCCCATCATCTACACACTCAGAAACGCAGAGGTGAAAATCGCCATGAAGAGATTGTTGGGCAACAAAGTGAATTCAAGGGTGGAATAAAAACAATAAGGTGAAAAAAATTAGCATGAACAGAGTGACCAAATATGCATTCTGATTTTAATCAACTATGAGGAAGAGAGCAAAAGTTAACCTATTCATATTTTTTGTTGTATTTTATTTATTATTTTTTTACAACACTGTCCTAGGAGAATGAATATTATTTTTTCTGTTTTCTTTAGACATCACCAAGAAATCTCAAAATTCCCTAGTACTTTGCTGCTGCCATCCTTAAACTCTAATATCCCACAGAATTTATGCTTGTAAATGATTTTCTATCTGACTGCTACCTTTTGTGTCAACGCTCTCTCATTCTATTTTTACCATCATTAAAAATACTAAAATATATAATTATTAGGTACTTTAGATATTTGTGGTTCTTTAATTTCTGTAAAGTTCATTTTATAAATAAGGATCAATGAGAAATTTACTGAATGGCTGAAGAAACTTCTTTGCAAAGTAGTCACTGGTCTGTTCCTGGGAATCCAAGCCAGCTTGACTTGGCTGGTCAGAGAGGGAATAAAGGCCATCCCTTCATCAGCCTACATGGCCTCAGACTTCCCTGGCAATTCCAGAGAGCCTTGGCTCCTGCTGTGTTCTAAACCTTCCCTATCTCAGTCTGTTCAAACTTAGCCTCCTTAAAAATTCTACCAGCCACCATTCTCTTAATAAAACCTTTGCAAGTTTGCCTGGGTTGCAAAGACTCACTTCACCTGAAAACTGACTGTCCTTTGCTCAAATGGACTGTTTCTTAGGGTATTTAAGACTTTATTTGAAACTATTGGTATTTCTGGATATGTGTACCCTGAAGCCTACTTGAGGGCAGAGTATTATTTACCTTTCTGCTCTAGTTCAGTGCCTAGCATACTTTCACACACATACTATGTCCTCAGCAAATGTTGGTTGAATAAATGAACACAAAATTAAATAAACTAATGGAAAACAGAATATACAAATGGCATATTGTCTGTGGTATCAAGGTCCTTACATGATGATGTGAAGAATAAAGAAGGTCCTATGGCCTCAGCATCCAATCCTAGGCTTCAATTTCTAGATTGTACTTTATGATTATTTTCTTTGCATGGAAATGATGAGATTTTCACTTTGAAAATCTCTCCAATTAACAAAAAACCCACATTAACTATCTTAATGTTAATAAATATTCCATCATCAGAGAATAGATCTCATTAATAAGCCTGAGCAGTGATGACAGAAGAAACACTGCTTAAAGACATAATTTGGGTGAGATTAAGATAGAAATGTCACTTTGTTAACATTCTGTATGAGAATCTGAGATTTTATTCACACCCAATATATTTTTGGTTTCTCATATACCACCTTGATTCAAGTAAGATCTGAGGAGGCGATGCCATGTTGTATTTTAGATGAGCTCCTTATATTCATGGTATCGATCATAGCCGTTTCCTAGCTGTCCCTATTTTGGACAATGTTGAAATTGAGCTACTTCCATCTCTTTGGCGATCCATAGCACCAAGTGCATGGACTTCAGAGAGGCATCACCTGGACTGGAATCCCCCTCTATCAACTTCTACCTGTGCAACCTTGGGTTCATTCACTTTATCTCTCGGTGTTAGCATCCTGTGGTATGTGGAAAGATTGTGATATTTGGAGACATAAATTTATGTTTTTCTTTTTCCCTCTTTATCAGTGTGATCTTGTGGGAGTCCCAGGAAGGCTTTCTACTTTGTTTGGTGTCCCCACCCCATTGATATGATTAGAATATCTGAAATTCCACAGTAGGAGCTTTATTTCACAGGAGTGGGCATTGTTAGAATGAAAATGTCTCTGGGAGTTGAAGTACAACAAAACTATTATTAACCATTAATATCTTAATCTGAACAATTTTACAAGACCCTTCCCCTTCTAGACAGTCAATATCTGGGTACTGAGGTTTGGGTTAAGCTACATCCAGCCTGTTGCCTGTTTTCGTGTGGCTTGCCAGCTAAAAATGGTTTTTGCATTTTTAAATGGTTGAAAAAAATCAAAGTAGAATAATATTTTGTGAAACGTAAAAGTTATATGAAATTCAAATATTAGTGTCCATAAATAAGGTTTTATTGGACTACAATCATGCCCATTACTTTACTTTTAATCTCTGGCAGCTTTCGTGGTACAGAGGCATAGCTGAGTAGTTGTGACAGAGACTGTATAGTTTGCAAAGCATAAAATATTTACTATGTAACCCTTACAGAAAAAGTTTGCCAACCCTCGGCTTAAGTTGTAATAAAATTTATTGTTTACTCTAGAAGAAGTTTGGAGTTCAGCGGTTCCAGTGTTATTTTATTAATTCTATGAGGCCAGAGCACCTGGTTGGTGTCTTTTCAATTCTCTTGGATGTCCCCTCACAGCTGCAAGATGGTTACAGCACCTCCAGGTATTATATACTCACATGAGGGGAGGGAGGGGCTCTCATTTTATTTTCTAAGAATCTCCCTAGAACAATTATTATTTTTATTCTCACCAACCAGAACTAGGTCACATGTCTATGCCTAGATGCAAAGGAGGCTGGGATAGTGAGTAGTGGCAAAGGGGAATGGGATTATATTATTGGCTCAGACCAGGCACTGTGTTTCCCCTGGGCTGGGCACATTGGTGCTTTAACAAAGTCAGGGTTCTGTCATTAGGGAAGGAATGTCTGCCGCAGGGAGTTGTGGTAAATGTGACATCTTCGAGGGTAGCGTACCTTGGCATAGTGAGGTGGTTAAGGGATTTTAATCTGGTGCCAGAGTGACAGACTGAACCCCAGCTCAACCACTTAGTGACTGTACAACCTCAGAAAAGTGACTAAAATTCTGTGATTCAGTTTCCTTGGCACGGAAGTTTGGACCAACTGCAAGAGCCATTTTCCTTAATGTCTCAGTTTTCCTATGAGGGCACCCTGCTTTAATTTCCCACTGGATGATAAAGGGGGCTCCAGGATATGAGTGATCTTATGGCATTTAAAAAATCTTTTATTACAGAAAATTTAATATATATACAGATGTGGTCAAAGCAGGGTAATGAACTCATATGTACCATAACTCCCGGTTTTTATCCCAATAATTATCAGTTTAGGACAAATTTTGTTTCATTTTAGCAGAGCATCTCAACAATAACACTATTGACATTTCGGTCACATAATTCTTTGTTGTTGGGAGCTCTCCTGTGCATTGTAGGTTGTGTCATAGCATCCTTGGCCTCTCCGCACTAGATGCCAATAGTACCTATTCACCACTCAAGTTGTGACAATGAAAAATGTCTCCAGATGTTGCCAAATGTCCTCTGGGGGGCAAAATCACCCCCAGTTGAGAACCACTGATCTATACCCTCTTTCTTACCACAGGCAAGAAGAAGTACTATTTCAGTTTTCTGACACTTGTGGCCCATATTCCTTGGATCCATCCTTTCAATGGTGTCATTTCATGTGTCGGGCGAGAGGGAGAATCTCCCTCTGCCGTTTTCCTTAAGGTTCTTATGGCTGGCCAAATAATTAACAAGACAGGTTAGCAGGAGAAAATAATGCCAAGTTTAATAACATGTATACATGGGAGAAACTCAGAAATGAGCAACTCGTCCCTCTGTCTAAGCTGCCCCCTTAAGTATTGTAGCTAAAGGCAAGGAAGGTGTTGGGGGTGGGTAGTGGTCTGGGACCTCAGAGGGCAAGAAGACAACTCACATGGAGATAGAAATGCAAACATTTGCCTGACAACTCTTCTCAGGGTCATCTATAGATAATGTGGTCAGGGAGAGAGAGAGTTTTTGATAAAAGGGGCTTGGTGCCTTTCCTGTTGTAACCTCTATCCTTCATTATCTTTACAGCCATCATGATAATAACTCCTTCCTGAAACAGATCTTTTGTTTTAAATTCTTCAGACAGTTTGGGAAGGGAAACTCAAATATTCTTCCTGAGTTCTCTGAGTCCCTATTGTCTTCAGCTCGAAATAATCCGCATACCAGAGTGGTGCCTCCTGGGGTAGCTTGCTCTGAGCACCATCACATGTAAAGCCATATCTTAGAGTTCATGATAAGCAGGAGCTATATCTAGTTGAGCTCTGAGTAGTATAGCACCACATATAGAGTAAGTGCCCTGTGAACATTGGGTGCATTTATTTTTTTTACATTTCCTATTGATTTCTGAAGTTTATGTTACCTATAAGGAAGTTTGAGGTTTTGGTATCCAGGTCCTGCATCCCATGAGGTAGTCAGCCCTATTAGGAAGGGAAAGGTATGGCTGTCTGGGGACCAATCTTCTCTCAACTGATCATCACACCTCCTCCCGTGGTATCTCTCAAGTAGAGTGAACTCAAGGCTGAGCTGCCAGAATTTTGTTTCTCTGTGGAACACTTGGGAGGCAAGTCTACTTTGCTCTTGTTTTTTTTTTTTTTTTAATATTTATTTATTTATTTATTTATTTTTTAATTTTTTGTTTATTGCAGTAACATTG